AATATCGACTTCTATTGCCGTCTGTGCCTTGCCTGTTGCTTTGACCCTGAAGTTGACCATGGTCGAACCTTGAGGTCGGTGGGGTAGCCTAGTGGTTAAAGCCTTCGTTCGTCACGTCAGAGACCCGGGATCGTTTCCCCACATGGCTACAATGTGTGAAGCCCATTCCTGGTGTCCCTCACCGTGGTATTGCTGGAATAGTGATAAAAGGGGCGGAAAACTCAACTCACTCACTCACTCACTCGAACTCTGAACATGTCCTTAAGATGCGTCTCTGAAATAAGGCCACACATCTCCTGAGATATATGTCTTCCAAAAAAATCGCTATTCTCCATCATTTTAAGCCAATTAAATTATGTATGTTATTGAATTGTTCTACTCTTTTACAGCTAGGTGACTGGCAACAATACGGAAAAGCATCAGGCATATGTGGACTTTGAAATATCATGCTTGCACCCACCTGAAATAATATAATAATGACATGATGAAGAGCCTGTTGAATAACAATTATGCAATATGTATACATTAATATGCCATCGTACTGAATGTACGATACTTTGTTCCGCCAAATATGTGTCATATTTCATCATTAATATTGAAATAGTTCATGAATATTCCATCACGTTTCAAGCTGTTACATTCTCATAATGTAAGCATGGGCAGAACGTGGAGTTCTTATGACATGTCCCGGAATCCCCAAGAGGTGTGTAACAGATGGTTAGTTATATAAGCTTGAAAAAAATAAGTGATCGGTTTTATGTCAACATATTAACCGAAATACCTACGCGGTTCACCCTCAGTGGTGGATTCTTGCAAATATTTGTGGAACGCCTTTTGGTTCCATGTCAAATCCTAATAAACTTTATCACAGTTCTATGTGATTATTTCATATTTAATACATTCTAGATATGCGTTGCTGATACATGACGATGCATTTGGTAAACTTCCTTTTCTCCTGCGACTGAACGCAAGATGTTGACAGTGGCTGTGTTGTCTTTGGCGAGATGCTTTGTTCACAGGTGACACGTCCGTGAACTACGTTAACACAATATGACATGTGAAGTACCATTTCGGTTAGGCGTCGATGCTTTTTCATTTTACAGATATTTGGCCTTTTTTAAATCTCAAAGACATGACATAAGCCAAAATGCAAGATTTGTGGGTTTTTTTGTTTGTCGCACACAGCAATATTTCCGCTATATGAAGTCGGTCTGCAAATAATCGTGTCTGGACCTGACAGTCCAGTGATCAACAGCCTGAGCACCGATCTACGCAATTGGGATACGGTGACATGTGTCAGCCAAGTCAGCGAGCCTGACCAGCCGATCCCATTAGTCGCCTCTCACGTCGAATGTGAGAGCAGGACTTGCGGTCCTCACGACCTTTTTGAGCATAATCGACTACAGAAATATTTTGTGTAAACTACTTGTCTTCTTGTCCATGCCAATTGGTAGTATACTTTACCAGCAAACATAGCCCTGATACAACAAGTTGCAAGCGTAAAAGCCACTTGATGATGTTGGGTGAACAGTGTAAGTTTGTTGTTGTCAAGGTAATTCACCTCTTACCGACCATTGCTCAGGCATTTGGGACTGGAACCTGAGTGTAATTACATGTATTCACCCACAACCCGTGACACAATGATTCTCTAATGTTAGTCGGGCACACCCCAACAGTGGAGTACAGCTGACAAATGCCACTTGGGAAGGATATACTAACCGTTTTCAGTGTCATTATTTATTTGCAGTGATACTTTCTTATAATTTATTTTGTAGTTTCAAAAGTTACGGAGGTTGTTTTTAATGATTGTTTCTAAATGGAAACAGGACCATGTACAAGTTGGTAGTTTAACTGGTAGGGTAACAAGTTACGCACATACTGTACTTTTAAGTTTGATTTTGGAAGTGAATTTTATATTAATTGGAATATGTCGCGTTCTATGAGAAAAACACTAGCTTTGTTTAGATGTAGGATAGCGCCACTTAGAATCGAAACTGGTCGTGGTTTTTATTTAACTGAAATAATTTCCTTTCACTGTAAATATTTTATTGATGATGAGTGTCATGTTTAATCGCATTGTCCTTTGTATGCTGATGAGCGAGTGCAACTTTTATCTAGATGTACAAGTCTTTTAGATGTTTTTGTTTAAATCTGGGGGATGATGAAAAAGTTAGTTTTATTCTAGCTTGTCGAGATGTATCGTTTTTATCTGCCTTAATATTCTTAAAAAGGGCACTTCAAATGTGTATGTAACTTCTTAATGTAAACTGTCTTAGTCACTTTGCCTTTTAGCTCACTGTAATATGTGTATATAAACGAGACTGGTTATTATCTGTCGTTGATAATAGTAAGTGGAAGTATTGTGATTGATCACAAGTCAAGACATCAGGTTTGTTTGAAAGCTATGTTGCGGGGTACTTTTCTGTGAAAAGGGATTATAAAGGATTTCAGTAAAAGTATTTCCTCTCAAGTCACATGGCTTAACATGTAAACTAATCTCTATATTTGGACATTTGCGATTTGGGATACTCAGAAGCGTTGGTATGTCACACTATTTCCTCATTGAGAACAAAATGCTTTAAAGGCGTTGATGGATCACCTTCGAATATCAATAACATTATGTCATCCGAGCAATAGGTTAAGTAGAGACATCTATGAATACTTGACACGTCTCTGTGGATAACAACTTCTTTTTTTTTTATACGACGTTACACCTAATGAAGGAGCAGGAAACGTTGTATAAAGAATATAAAGAAGTTTTTATCAAAACAGACGTGTCATATATTCATAATAGTTCAACTTCTAAATGCCTGTCAAGAACTTCATACAGACATCTATGGCTGTTAAATTTAAAGAACACAAAGGTCCAGAGAAAATGTTTGCGCCTTAATCCGACGTGCATCACTTCTAAATGCCTATGTAAGACTCGAATAATATGCCGACTGAAACTCCATTTCCATTGTGTGTCAGCTTTCTTCAAAACATCTTTCTAACACTGACATCAAATGATTTACTTGAACACTCGGAAGTATAAATAGGTGTCAATTGAATGATAGCTGTGTATCTCATGCCAAAAGTTGCAGCAGAGTAATATATACTTTGATATCCCCATCAAGTCCAACAAAGCCTCCGTAAAAGTTTACCAAATAAAGCTTTTGTCAGGCAGATAGTATATCACTTTGACCGCGTTAACTTCCCGGTCACCGTGACACAATAGTGTCACTATCACCGCGATCTTGATCGTCGTGTGAAACAGTTTAATGTTTCGTACCCCTTGTTCTATGTACTTTTTTTTCTCGTCTTCGCTTATAGCAGACTTACGAGACTTCGACCGGATTTCTTGTTTCATCTTACGGTACGTACTTGTCGAGTTCAGAGAGGATTGAACGAGATTCCTCCTCTGAGATCTTTCTGTCAGCGAGTGCTGTGGAAATACGCTCACTTACCGTGTTCAGCTTTGCTTCGGCCAGAATCCTGATCTTCCTGTGTTTCAATGCCTTTGCAATGCCTTCCGATGCAGTCTGCGTGACACAAACTGCGGGTGCGGCTACACCAATCCAGCCAACCCTGACACCCCAGCTGTTATTTCGATGCCTAGCACTGCGGGTGCGGCTATGATGGTGGCCAACAACCCCACACCTACTGCCCCCTAACCCCATACTGGGACTATAGAACCCGTTGAGGGGTTCGGTTGTATGACGATACGGCAACGTTCGCCCAGGATTAGGGCGCTATAGTGTATTGTCACCCCAGGTAAAGGTTGCTGTTCTACGGGATCACCCTCCATGAAGTAGACTTCTATGGCGAGTGTGGACCCTGGGTTCACCTTCATAAGGTCCAATTGGGAATTGGGGACGTCGAACCTTAACTCGTCCTCCAAGCCTGAAGCAACTAACATGTTACCCGTGTGATCCGGTATTAGTTGAGTACTTATACCATACTTTGGAACGAAAGCCCCGAACAAGATACCATTGTTCCTAATTTCGGAGACATACCTATCTTTGTCTAACGGGATATAAAGTTCGGTGAGGGTCATGTTGAGCAACCATTTGGGCTCTATACAGCCGTCTGGCAGACGCCACCGCACGTACACACTGTTTCTTAAGTGCAGGACGTACGAGGTGTCTTCCTCACCGGGCTGATCGAATCCCTCCGTGTCTCCTAGATCGTTAAGTGTGGCGTTGGGCCGATGACGATTGGACATTGCTATAATACTATTACGAGATAGTTTCCAATTGTTTTTCTGATAATTTCTCAAGGGTGCACTTCACCTCCATGAAGTGTATGTTGTCGGGTAGGAAGATCATGGTTAGTGATATCATGTCTTCCACGGTCACGGTGACCCCCCTGCAGACTGGTGTGGGAGTCGACACCCACCCGCACGTAAACAGTGCAAACCTGATACTGGTGCCGTTTCCCCCACCGGAGTTTGATCCCCTTCACGATTTCAACTTCATCCTGCGATGGTTCCCCTAGGTAGACTATTGACCATCACATGTTGTTGTCAAGAATGGAAAGTGACCTTAAAGTCAGGGGTACTGCTCTTTCATGGTTCCAATCTTACCTATCAGATCGATCTCAAGTAGTTAAGATTGAGAGCAAAACATCATGTCCCACAGATCTCAGGAGTGGCGTCCCTCAAGGTTCCGTGCTAGGACCAGTGCTGTTCTCTGTGTACACTACACCACTGGGAAGAATAGCAGACAAGCACAAAGTCAGCCAACATCAATATGCAGATGACAATCAAATCTATTCTTCATTCCCTACCACAGAAGCCCTGCCATCGTTGGACACCCTTTTTGATTCCTGCAATGACATTCAGACATGGATGACTAAAAAACCTACTGAAACTTAATGAAAGTAAAACAGAATTCCTGCTTATTGGGTCGAAAACAACACTTTCCAAACTTGACAAGCCATCTCTTCAAATAGGGAATACTGCCATAACTCCAACCCCGAAGGTCAAGAATCTAGGTGTTATTCTCGATGAAAGTCTGAAAATGGACAAGCAGATCTCCAACATCATTAACACGGCCCATATGCATCTCAGGAACATTGGAAGACTCCGCAACTATCTGAGTGCTGATGCTACTTCAAAACTTGTCCTATCTCTGGTCATGTCCCGAGTAGATTACTGCAACAGCCTCCTCAACAACGTCAACAAAGATCAGCTACGTCGCCTTCAAGCCCTCCAAAACACTGCTGCAAGAATCATTACAAAGTCTAAAGTCTTCGATCACATTACTCCAATTCTAAATGATTTACACTGGCTACCAATCACCGCAAGAATTGACTACAAAACTATTGTAATGACGTACAAGTGTCTCAACGGAATGGCCCCTGACTACCTCGCAGAGTTACTGCCCCTGTATCAGCCCTCACGCTCACTGAAATCACAAACCAAATGCTAGTGACAGTGTCTAACATCAAAACCAACTTTGGCAAAAGGTCGTTCGCTTTCAATGCAGCAATGAAGTGGAACGCGCTACCGCTTGAACTCAAAACCAGCGAGTCACTAACATCTTTTAAGACTGGCCTCAAAACATTTCTTTTCAAGTGTCAATTTCCATCCTAAGCGCACAGAGCATTTATTAGTGAATGATGTGCTATATAAATGCAATTATTATTATTACTATTATTATTATTAGACTTGGATGACCAGCGTGGAGTTCGCCGGTAGGCTCGCCAGGATGTTGACCATGCCAGCGAATTCAGACACCAACTGCATGCCCCGTCTTGCACTCGCGGTTTACTCGACAGCATGTGGGCTGCCATACTCGAGAGTGGGCTGATGATTTCGCTACGTCTCTGCGCCGGGACGTAAGCCACGAGCAGGCTTCCGTTGTTCACGACTTTGTTTAGGTAGTTGTCTTTGTTCTCCGTGAACACATAGGGGGAGCCGAGACAAATGTTGAGAAACCAATCCACTCGAGAGGGTAACAACACCCACTTGTCATCATCGGTGAAGACGAGGGTATACTGCTTGTTTCGGGCAACAGTCGTGCTCTCAACATCTTCTAAGTCGAACAGTTTTTATTATCAACATATTATCAACTCAGGCTGGTGCCGAGTTAACCTCTTGTACAAACACTTTTGCGTGAAAATGACTCGGTTCTGCCATCGTTGTATTTCTCCGTTTTCATCGGTACATTGCCAAGGTGTGGGGCAGACGGCCATATGAGTCGACATGCCCAAGGAAGGCGACAATATCCTAAAATTCGACAACCACAAGAACCAGATGCCCGTGCCTTACATCATCTATGCTGACTTCGAAGCCTTCGTCGAACCCGTTGAGGCTGCTGGGGGTACCCCGGGGGGCACACAAAAAACACAGGAGCACGAGGCCTGTGGGTTTGGATACATGGTCGTCCGGTGTGATGGGGAAACAAAAGCTCCCGTAGTGTACTGGGGTCCCGACGCAGCTGAAAAGTTTCTAAAGTGTTTGCAGGGGGAAGAGAAAACTATCAGGAATGCACTGTACACAGTCGCTCCCATGCGTATGGCTCAAGCCGACCGGCTAGCTCATGGCTGCAGCACTCACTGTCATGTGTGTGATAACCCGCTGAACGGCGATTCGGTGAGAGATCACTGCCATGTCACCGGTAAGTATAGAGGCGCCGCTCACAACGCGTGCCACTTCAAGCTTAGAATCAACCCCAAGACAATAAACATCCCCGTGGTCTTCCACAACTTGAGGGCACCTGTGAAGAGCCACCTCCTCGTGGTGGGTGCTGGGTAACGCCAAGAGCTCTTCGACCCCCCGTTGTGGACCCGGGGGGATATTTGGTTTTGGTCCACCAACCCGTTTGCCGTGGGTTGCGCCCCTGTGTCGGTGGAGGACGGGAGGCTGGTGGTTGGGGGCACTGGTTCCAGGAACAGTGTTCCTTTGCCCAACACACCACTTCGCCCCTTACTTCACCTAGATGGGTGGTTGAATGGGCCCGGTTCAACCAATCGGCTGGTCAGGCCAATCCCTGCGTATTATTTTGTATTTGCATATAATTGTTGAATTCCGAAATTGTCGTTTCACTTTTGGTCTTGTCCCAGTTTGTTTATCAAGCTGAACGTAATTTCAAAATTAGTTGATTTTATAACTTGCCTAGAGTTTATACCCAGAAGGCGATGGCTCATGGGCCAATCTTGTGGTACATTATCTGTAATGCTACTGCTTGAGTATACCCTCTTGGTATCCTTGGTGCCGCCTGTTGACACTCCATGGTGGGTGGGGATCCAGGAGGGTGAAACACAAATATATTACCATGGCAAACCAAAACCCCAAAAAGCAAAAACGTTATCACATTGATGATACTGACGATGAGGATGATTCCATTACCAGACTATGTTATTCTGAAAGTAACACATGGCCTCGATTCATTGTTGCTGAATCAAGTGAGAAAAAGTTAACTTCTTGTTCTCCCTTTCTACTAGAAAAAGCAATTCAAGGAATTGCTGGGACTGTCAAAAATGTTACCAAAACGAGATCGGATGTCTAAAGAGAGAGCAAGCGGCTAATCTTCTGGAAGCAAAATCATTTGCAAATGTCTCTGTCAAATGCTATGCTCACAAGTTTTTAAATTTTAGCAAAGGAATCATCCGAGACCGAGATAGGAGTCTTGCTGATCTGTCAACTGATGACATTGTTAGTCAGTTACGTATGCAAGGTGTGGTCGAGGCTAAACGTTTCAGCTTTAAGAAGGATTGTATATATTCACCCTCGAATACTTACTTGCTTACGTTTGATGCACCCTGTTTACCTCACTCAATTAAAGTAGGATGCTTCTCCATGAAAATTGACATGTATGTTCCAAATCCTCTGAGGTGTTTCAACTGTCAGAGGCACCCATGAAGGGCCACCTCCTCGTGGTGGGTGCTGGGTAACGCTAAGCGCCCTTCAACCCCCCGTTGTGGACCCGGGGGGATATTTGGTCCACCAACCCGTTTGCCGTGGGTGCGCCCCTGTGTCGGTGGAGGACGGGAGGCTGGTGGTTGAGGGCATTGGTTCCAGGATTAGCGTTCCTTTGCCCAACACACCACTTCGCCCCTTACTTCACCTAGACGGGTGGTAGAACTGGCCCGGTTCTATCAATCGGCTGGTCACGCCAAGCCCTGTGTATAGACTATATCTATATATGTCATTGCACAAATTACATTTGGAATTGTTTTAATTTCGGGCTTACTTGTTTATCTAAAACGTTTGTGATTTTGAATTATTATATTATGAACTTTGCCGAGAGTCTTATGCCCAGAAGGCGGTGGCTCATGGGCCAATCTGGTGGAACTATTAATCTTTTAATTCTTCTGCTGGAGTATATCATCCGGGTATCCTTGGTGCTGCAAGTTGGAAATCCACTTGGTTTTAGCATTGTCCTTGTGATACTCCGTGGTGGGTGGGGAGCTCGGATGATGAATTCTAAAAACTACACATGGCTTATGAAACCCCATAAAAGACCAAGCGTACACTTGACACTGATCCTGTTGAGACTGACCATAGACTGCCCAACTCACTTGATTATTGGCCACGTTTTTCTTCTACTTGAAACTGTTGACTTGACACCATTGAAATTGAATCCTTTGCCGTCTCGAAGGGTATACAAGGTATTGCCGGTGATGTTAAGAACATTAAGCGGTTACGTTCTGGTGCTCTACTTGTTGAGTGTGCGAAAAGACATCAAGCCACGAACCTTCTGAGCACGAAAACCTTTGTCGGTATTCCGGTCACGGTCACTGCTCACAAAACACTCAACACGAGCAAAGGCATTGTCAGAGATCGTGACAGATTGTTTGCTGACATGTCAGAACTTGACATAGTGTCTGAAATGAAGGACCAAGGCGTGCTTTATGTCAAACGTTTTACAACTCGGAAAAACAATGAAACTTTCAAAACTAATACATATCTGTTTTCCTTTTCATGCCCAAATGCTCCCAAATCACTGAAGGCAGGTTATTGTAACGTCCAAGTTGACACCTACATCCCTAACCCGCTCAGGTGTTTTAAATGCCAGAAATATGGACATGGTGTAAATACTTGCACATTGTCTGTTGTGTGTGCTCACTGTGGTGAGAAGACACACACAACAGAAGATTGTACCAGTGATTTTAAAAAATGCACCAACTGCTCAGGCGAACATTCTTCCTTCTCCAAAGATTGTCCTATTAAAATTAACAAGATCAAATTTACCCAAAACATTAGCTTTTCCGAAGCCAAAAAAACTTGTAAAGAGTTCTGACCTTAAGGAAACATATGCTTCAGTAACCGCACCACCATCTGAGTCAAGCTCTAAAGTGCCCAAATTGTCCACAAGCTGTCAAACAAATTTGACTTGGGTCAAAAGCGATTCTCCAGAGCTCTTGTACCCTGCAATGTCTTCTCAAACTACAGACTCACTTCCTGTTATGTCTGAAAAGCAGTCAGCGTCATCTTCTGGTAAACAGTCTCAGTCGAGTTCAAAGTCTCAATCGTCATCTACTGGTCAACAAACTGGTAAAGCCAAAAATAAACATAAACCTGATTCCTCAAAAGCACAAAGTGGAAGACCCCCCAAAGGGTCAGAAAACAGAATACAGTTGTACAACAAATATGGATCTCTTGATGATATGGACGTGACTGAAGCCGTCGATACTAGGGCACACAGCTTGTCGCCCACCAAACAAGTGCGTGGTAGATCCCCCATAAATCCCCCCAAGAGATAGGTTATCAGAATAATATCATACAGTGGAATTGCAGAGGACTAAAGACTAACTTCAGTGAATTGCAACTATTAGTCCAAGATTATACACCATCAGCAATCTGTCTGCAGGAGACATATTTAAAACAGACGGACACTTTGACTTACGCCATTTCAATGCGTATCATTATTTTCACCTCCGGGTGACAGGGCCACTGGCGGATCTTCCATCCTCATCAGGCAGAATATTATCCATAGCCCTGTTTCACTTACTACTGGTCTACAGGCTGTTGCCGTTCGACTCACTTTTCATGTTACGCTCACATTATGCTCTTTGTATATCTCACCGTCTTCACCTCTTCAGAAGAGTGAACTTCAAAATCTATATGACCAACTACCACAACCCTGTATTATTATGGGAGATTTAAATGGCCACAACCCACTCTGGGGTGGTACAAATACTAATGCTAAAGGTAAACTATTGGAAGAGTTCTGTTCAGATAATGATTTATGCATATATAATGACGGTTCCAACACCTATTTACATCCTGGCACGGGAACTTATTCAGCTCTAGATCTATCAATTACAGACCCAGACCTATTGAATGAATTTGAATGGTCAGTCCACAATGATCTTTGTGGAAGTGACCATTTCCCAACAATATTAAAGCCTGTGAACCCATCTGATAATACCCCATCCTCTAGATGGAACTTTAAAAAAGCTAACTGGAATTTATATCAAACTC